TCCCCCAGCATGGCCCCTGCCCCGGCTGTTGGGGCCTCGGCCCCCCACCTCGGGCGGGCTCCTCTGCCCTCCGCACAGTCCCAGGCAGCGCGGGCTTCGGAACGGGCCTCCCCGGGCGCCTTGCGACCCGGGGTTCAGTTCAGTCGCCTGGACCCTGCACCGCACGTTCCCGCTGCTACCCGGCCTCCCGGTCCCCTCGGGCTCGCTCTGCGTCTCCCCTGGTTTCTTGCTGTCTCTGTAGGCGCCTCTCTCTGGTTCTGCGCGTCGCCACTGCTTTCCTTCCCTCTGTCGCTCCTCTCCCCTGGCTCTGTCCGTCTTCCTCTCCTACCCCCTCTCCTTTCCTCTCTCTCCGTTCTCTGAGTTTTCTACCCCTAGCTCTTTCTCTCCTTTCTCTGCCCTTTCTCCCTCCCACAAACCATCCCCCCCACCCCGATCTGGGCCACTCTTGGGGCACGTCCCTTGGGTCCGCGGGGCTCCAGGGTCCCCACGGAGCTCATTAACAGCGGCAGGGCCCAGGCGGGAGCTGGGCGGAGGGACGGGGCCAGAGATCCCCTGTGGGGAGGCCTGCCCCACCCCCCATGGAGCTGGGGCCTGGGGGCAAGAAGAGGGTCGCTCCCCCCTCCCCCAAGAGGGGGCAGGACAGTTTTCGTGGATCCTGTTTGGAGTCATTTTCTGATCCCCTTTAAATTGCTGGACCCGTGTTCTTCACTCTGGGCGCTGTCAGCGCGAGTACGTCGGGGTGGGGGACTTGGGCACCGGGGCGCCTGTGGGAAGGGACCCTTAGGAGGTGCAGCCTCTTACCCACAGCTCTAAGGTTAGGAACAAGGCTGAATCTTGCAAAATTATCCCTGCCAGGGGCTACTCCCACTTGGGCAGAGGGAGGGGTAGGTCACCAGGAAAGCAGGAGTACTTCTGAGGCAGTGTTGTCAGACAAAATGCAGGACGCCCCGCTAAATTTTGAATTTTGGGTAAACAACAAATAAATTTTTAGTGTAAGTGTATCCCATGTAATATTTGAATTTTAAATAAACAACAAATACTTTTTTAGTGTAAGTGTATGCCATGTAGTATTTGAATTTTAGGCAAACAACAAATACATTTTTAATATAGATGTCTCATGCACTATTTGAGACATACTTATACTAAAAAAATTGTTCATTGTTTTTCTGAAATTCAAATTTAACTGGGCACAATATTTGCTAAATCTGGCAGCTCTCTTGTGGGCATGTGATGGGACACGAGACTTATTCCCAGTGGTCCAGTTTCAGGGCACTGAATTAATCTATGAAGCTTTCCCCAAAGTAAGACCTTATGTGTGTAATAGCTCCGGATGTGACGAGGGGATCTTGGAGAGGATCCTGCGTGTCTCAATCAGCCTCCAGGTTGCCAAGCAACTTTCTAAGGCCTGAGGTTTCCACCCCTGTCCCCTACCCCCCAGTGCCTTCCAGGCATTGGCAGCCCGGCCCCAGCTGGGCCCCTTCTGGATGGAGACGGGTTCCCCAAAGAGTCATGCTTCATCTTTGCCTGTCTTTGTGGTGTAGTGGAAAGAAAAGGCAAGGACTACAGTGCTGAGTCTAGGCTGAGCCGCTACCAGTGGTGCACATGGCATCGTTTCTCTTAACGTTAGTTTCCTCATCTGTAAAGTGGGGTGAATAGCAATAGCCACCCATTGAGCAGTAGTGAAGGCCCATGATGTATATAAAGCCAAAGGCATACCCTAGGTATTGAATACATGTTAATTTCTTCCTCCATCTCCCTTCCCTTTCCTGTTAGAACTCTGCCACTCTGTGAGATTTCCAAAGACCACTTAACTTCCCTGCCTCATCTACCCCATTTGTAAAACTGGGCAAAACTGCCTCACAGGGCAGCTGTGAGGATTAGACTACAAAATTTGATATCTGACCTCCAGCCCAGTGCCCTCAGCCCGGGGGTCCGCACAGTACTTTCGGGTGTGGGAACTGATTAGGGCCAAATGAAAACAAGTGGAGAGGTGTCAGTGAGCAACTTCCAGGTGCCTGCCCCCCAGACACTGTTGGGGGAGACCTGTGACAGCCTCCTCCTTAGGAAGTGCAGGGGGAAACGGGAAGATCTGGGCTCCGGAGTCCCTTCGATGCTGGGTCTTCATCAAGTGACCTTCCTTTCTGAACTTCAATTTTAAAGTCAGTAAAAAAGGTGAAAATAGTGCCGGGCTCATAGGGTTGTTTAGAGGATTCCGTGAAAAATATGCCTGTGAAGCCCTTTAACACATCCTCTGGAGTCAAAGAAGCCATCAACAGGTTGTAATAGTAGTAGCTGTTATTATTTATATTATTATTATTATTAGCGTAACATGGTGGCTCCAAATGGGTTTTGGAGCTGGGTGTGAATCCAGCATTGCCTAGTGAGGGACTCTGGGCAAGTCACTCTCCCCCTATAAATCTATAAAATGGGGATAGTTTATCTCAGCATGGTCCCGAGGCTGGAAACACTTGTGCGGGGC